TCTATACTCATTTATATCATTTGGTGTGAACTCTGATGGCACTGCTAGCCCACTTGATCCTCCAGAACATCTTTTCCGAATTAGACTGGTCTGCACCATCCTGGATACTTGTGGGCAATATTTTGACAGGGGATCTAGCAAAAGGAAACTTGATTGCTTCTTGGTCTACTTTCAGGTAGGAGTGAGTTTCATCATTGTGACCAGTTTGATATGCATTTCTCCATATAGCATGGTAATAATTCTGATGTTAAGTACATTATTATGTTTACAATATTAGATACTTTATTTTGTATATTTAATGTATACTTTTTAACTTTGTAACCTGTTCAGGGAGCCTTATTGGTTGATGTGGCGAGATAAAAATCCAATAAATAAATAAGATGAACTGTACAAGCATAATTAAAATGCAAGCCCTGTTCAAAGGCTTGCTGGTGATTCAGTTAAATAATATAAAAAGGAAAAGGAAAGATGCAGTACACTTATGAAATAACATAATCTAGACAGCACTGGGTTATTTATATCTGGGTATAGAGAGTGGCTAAAGAAAGCATCCACAGAATAAAAAGAAAAGAAAAATAAGTTTGAGTAGAAACACAACATCTAATATTAGAAGAAGGAGAGAATGGTGCTGATAAAGGAAGAAAATGGAAAAGTATTTAGACATTGAGAGCTAGTAAGGATAAAGGAGTTTCAGTTAAACAATAATTACGGGGGGGAAAGTTAAGATGTTGAGAAGAAGAAAAAATAAGTATTTGGACAAAAGAAACTAGGCAAGAACCAGACAGAAAAGTCCCAGCAAAGAATAAATAAAAAGGAAGGGTCAATGATAAAATGTCCAGCAGTAAAAGAAGAAAACTGATAAGCTGACTGGCAGGCTGCTTTATCAAAAAAGAATAGTGCATAAGATGCTTAGGGTAGAGAGAATTAAACAAAGCATCAACAAAGTGCAAGAAATTACATGCACTAGAAGGAAATAATTGGGCAAAATAAGATTGTATAACGAAAGTTGGGGAGGAGCGTTTTTAAAGCAAGTGTTAATCTTATTTGACATGAATGCTATGTATGCTACAGTTGCTCAGTAGCACAAATTGAGTGAAGAAGGCATAAGTGAAGTCAACTGTGAAGTTGAGTGGGAGTAGAATACAGTGGTGCCTCGTATGTCAAATGACCCTAAGTTCGAACGATTCAGAGTTCGAACGTTAGAGCCGAGATAAAATCGTTCACAATTTGAATGATGCATCTAAGTTCAAACTGTGAGTAAAGTGGAAAAAAATGCTGTCACTGCAGAAACATCTGTTGTGTATCCAAGTAGTCTCTCGCTGGGAAAGGATCTCTGTGCCTTTTTAGTGAGTGCCTTTTTGATCTTTCCAGTGCCTTTTCAGCATGTGCCTTTATGATTTTTTAGTGTCTTTTCTCACTACATACCGAAATGTGTATTGTTTAGGGTGTGGGAACAGACCTCTTTCCATTATTTCTAATGAGGAACATTGCTTTGTACTTTCAATGATTCAGAGTTTAAACGGCCTCCTGAAACAAATTAAGTTTGAAATATGAGGGACCACTTGTAATAGGAAAAGGTATTAAGATTTTTCAAGTGTCAGATGAGCAAAAATATCAAGAATAGTCAGCAAAGCAGAATTAAATGAAAAAAGCAGTCCCTGCAATTGATACTGTTAAAACAACAACAACAACAGGCAAGAGAAGTGAAGGGAGCAGAAAAAAATTGGCTTGCAAACTCTGGAAATCCTGATGTGGTACAAACCAGCAGGCGTGTTTGTAGATAGATGGCTCCTAACAGTATTGCTGGTCTGTAATTACAAGTGACCTTGTATACTATCAGGCAATATGGTGCTTTTTGTGTGTGTACATTCCACACTGTTCCAGTCACACCAGTCCTCTGGCCCAGTTGGGGACCAGCAAAAATAGGAAAATTATTTTGGGGACCACTGAGGCAAAAATAAAAAGCATTATATACAAAATATAGTATATTGTGTATTAATTTTTAAATATAGTACCAAAAAAAAGAAAATCCTCTAAAATAACCAGAAACTGTGCAGTAAAAATGCTAATAAAAGAATAAAATATTGAAATTAAATGTAATCGAATACAACTGAAATTTTTAGAGAATAATATGTAATCCAAATAAGGCTACTGTGAAATCTGCTGTTGCCTTTCAAGAATACTTGATCAGAAATTTACAATAGCAAGATACAAAATCAATATAAATGCAATACTATACTTCTACAATATTAGCAGAGCAATACAAATCAATCAAAGTTACATAATACAATAATATTCATAATGTTAAATACTGAAATACAATGAACTTCAAATCCTCATACATACCAGTACAGACTGGCTGAGAAAACACTCTTAGCACAGGCCTGCCTCAGTATTTCCCTTCCCAGCAGAAAACACAGCAGAGAAAGGAAAGGCCTGGTCTTGGGTCTCTACCCAGAGGGCAGACCTGGCATGGTGCAGCTCCCGGCTGGCTCCCATTGAGCTGCCTCTCCCCTCCCCAGGGAGGAATCTGCAGCGAGAGCACAGTGAGCCCTGAGCTGGTACATGGCGAGTGAGATGCCCCTGTCGTGCACGTGCATGGCAGCAGTTCTTTCACGGACGGGCAGGAAATACCAGTGGACTGGTGGTTGAGAACCACTGCTCTAACCAATAGTCTTCTGTCTTTTCAAAAAGGCATGGCTTTTACATGGGTAGTAACTTCTGGGTAGCTGAACCTATCAGAATTCATTCATCCACTCTGTTCTTTGCTTTGGGTACCATTTTATCAGTTTGTTTTTTAAACAGCCTTCTAAGTAACTCTATTATCTAGTATTTTTTAAAAAATAATTAAATGCCAGTTAGGGTGTCATCCATGTGACTGCCTGTGGCCCTTTGAACTCAGGCGAGTACAGGTATCTAGTGGAAGGTAGAAAAAGCACAGACACTAGGATTGCTGATGTGTTCCATCTGTCCTCCAAAACTGGCCATCTGAAGGTTTTTCTCCTCTCCCCAAGGAGGTGAGGCTGCCTTAGCCCCCATTTGCTTCAAGTACTTTGGTCCTAGATTGCAGAAAGCTTTAAAGGCCAAAACTAGCACTTTAAATTAGGCTCAGAAAGACACTGCTAACCTGTGCAGCTGATGCAGTGTAGGCATTATATAGTCTTGTCCCCACTAACATTAGGCAGCTGCATCCTGCACTAGCTGAAGTTTCTGAATTGACTTCAAAAGCTGCCCCATGTACAGTGCATTACAGTCTTACCTGCATGCTGCTAGTGCATGAATAGCTGAGGCAAGGTCTTTCCTCTCCAGCTAGATCAATGGTACTATAAAATGTGAGTGAATTGGATGTGGATTCCATAATAAAAACCTTGTCTGCAAGTAGCCTAGGGTGTAGTAAGATGAATTAATTTTAAGATATGAGTAATTCAGAACAACACATGGTGCTGCATATCTATATATTAATGAAATCATTTTAATATACTTTTATGCCATGCCACTTTTTGCTTAAGGGGATTTGTCTCCCACAAACATCAAAATGCCCTTGAATATTTTTTTTAAACAATTTATGGAACTTCTGTATTGATCTGTGGTCTTGTTGATCTTGGAGACATCTTTGCCTATATAATCTTTTTATTATTTATTTATTTATTTATTAAAACATTTCTATGCCGCCCCTTGCCAAGGCCTCGGGGCGGCTTACAACATTGAATACAAAATACATTAAAACAATGACAATTAAAATATATACAGTAAAATAAAATAAGCC